GACTCCGTAGGGTCTCCAGCTCCAGCACCCCCAACACCACCAGTCCCGGCAGCTCCAGTACCTCGGGTACGAGCACCTCCAGGGCCAGTAGCCGCAGTACCTCCAGTAACACCAGCTCCAGCAGCAACTCCAGCACCTCCAGCTCCAGCAGCTCCAGCACCTCCAGCTCCGGTAGCTCCACTCCGAAGGCGTACGCGCCGAACAAACCACTCACGCAGCTGCTATGGAGACAGTCTCGGCGAAGCACCAGCAGCACCTCCAGACTCCGCACCCTCTGACGCAGCACCCGCAGGCTCAACACCCTCAAACTCAGCTCCCCCAGTCTCAGCACCCCCAGTCTCAACACCCCCAAGCGATTCACCCCCTAGGCTCAGTACCCCCAGTCCTAGCACCCCCATGCTCAGCACCCCTAGGCTCAGCACCTCTAGCATCACCTGAGTCGACAGCTACCTCACCAGGCACAGCACTAGGGGGTGGGTCTACCTGAGAGACACCTGAGGGAGCAGGACCCTGAGGAGGGAGGGGGTCTACCGGAGGGGGACCGGGAGCAAGGAAGAGCGGCGGGGGAGGGAGAGGGGCAGAGCGGTAGGGGAAGAGACGGTAAAAGGGAACCGACTCATCAAACGTGGCGTCCTGAGACGGGAGGACACGGCGCGAGGTAGGGTGGTAAAACTGCCAGCCAGGCGCGTCAAGGACAAAGCCAAGGAAGACGCAGGGAATGGTGCGGGCGGAGAGCTTGTCCGCGGACGTATCGCGAACAAAGCCACGAGAACCCCAGACCCGGAACACTGACGCATCGCCAACCTTCCCCGTCCAACGTAGTGTGGGCGAGGTCTCTGGCAAGGAGACACGGGGCCAGAGGTTGAGCTAATGCGCAGCGTACCGGACCGCAAACGGCCACAGAAAATGGGGAGCAGCCGCATGGATCATGGAGGTACGAGCGACCTCCATGACTAAGCCAATGCGGCGCTCAACAATCCCATTTTTCTGAGGGGAGTCCGGAAGCGTGACCGACTAGAGGATGCCCTCCCCTCGACAAAAGTCCCTCAAGAGGTTGGAGGAGAACCCACCACCTCTGTCAGAGTGCAGACGTAGGACAAGAAGGTCCGTACTGAACCGCTCGCGGAGCTGGAGACGGACTGTGCAGATCTAAAGGATCAAGACATCAACGACCTGACCCTTGCTGCGCAAGGGGAAGACCGTGGTGTACCGCGTGTAGTCGTCAACGACCAGCAGAAAGTAGCGCTCGCGGCCATGTCCAGTGACGCGAGCTGGGCCCCAGACGTCCATGTGGAGAGTCTGCAGCGGAGCAGTCGTCGGGGGAAACGAGGAGGAGTGAGGAGCGGCGCGTTGCCGCCCCTCGACGCAAGGAAGGCAGGGCTGAGCAGGCGAGGGAGGGAGGGGAGGTAGAGACCTGGGAAGACCAGAGACAAGGAGACGGGAGTGCATGCCACGAAGGCGTGGGACGGAGGGGTGACCCAGGCGGTGGTGCCACATAAGGGTCTGGTGCGACAGGAGGCGACATGAGCAAGGGGGTGGAACCTGACCTGACGCGGACGCCTGAGCAGACGCAGCTACCTGAGAAGGCTCGGTAGCGACTGTGTACAGACTCGACCTTGGCCGACGAGTGAACATGGCCATGTGACGACCCGTCTGTGTACATGTGCAGATCGACACACGCTGACCTCCAGGAGTGGTGGTAGAGACCATCGCATCCTGAAGGGCAGCGGTACTCACCAAGTTCGTGGAGAACGAGGGGAGGTGAAGACCTGACAGTGAGCCGAACGGAACCGACGGACACGGGAGGACAGTGGAGGAACAGGCCACGACCGGGCCCTCGGAGGGGTCAGCCAGTCTGACCGGGACAGGTGCAGGGAGAGGAGTGAGGGTGGTGCTGTCACGAAAGAAACAGCGCGAGGCGCCTGAGTCCAACGTGAAAGTGTGCAAGGCCTCAGCAGGCGCAGTACCAGGGAGAGTACTAGACTCACTAGCACCTAGAGCAGCAGCGGCTATACCTGGGTCAGGCGGCACACACCGGTAACAGTCACCCTCAGCACTAACAGACAAAGCATACATAGCAGAAAGAATAGCATCAAAGTCTAGGTCAAAGATAGCAATCCTAGACCTAAGCAGATCAGCCCAGCGAGGGAGCTCGACGTCGTCACAAAACTCAGCACGCGAAGCGTCGTCGAGGCGGGAGAAGCAGCTATGTTGAGTGTGAAGCTTCCCGCATGTCTGACCAGCACAGTCACCCGTGCGAATGACATACGGGCAGCAGCCACTACCCCCAGACGCCCCACGCTGCAAAAACCACTCACGAAGCTGCTGGGGCAACAGGGTCTCGCTCCGACGCCGCTGCTGCTGACGTTGGCCACCTCCAAAACCTCCACGTCGAGCACCAGTCCCACCGCCACGAGTCCCACTGCCTCCACTGCCGCCACTCCCATTGCTGCCTCCACTGCCACCACCAACACCCCCACTCCCGCCACCACTCGCACCGCTGCCACCACCTCCACTGCCTCCACCACCTCCACTAATGCCCCCACCACCACTTCCGCTGCCCCCTCCACCACCCCTGCTACCCTTGCCCTTGCCGCTGCGGCGCTTCGCACTAGCAGAAGCAGCCCCAACGTCCTCAGCACCAGGGACGTCTGCAGCAGCGGCAGAGGCGTAAGAGGGGGCAAGGGGGGAGGGGGAGTACCCCTCAAAGAAGGGCGGGCGCGGAGTGCCGCGAGCAGCACCTACAGCAACTGCACTAGTCTCAGCTGCGAGGAGGTGCTGCTCGAGGAGGTCGACAGTGAGGGAGGTGGGGTCAAGTGAGAGAAAGTGGTCCCTGACAGAGCGAAGAGAGTCAGGGAGGCGAGTGACTATGAAGTAGAGGGTGATGAACATCGGGGGCTGGTTCCTGTCAAGGAACTCAGCAGGGACGGTAGCACGGTAGCGAGCGTCACTAGTGTGCAGGTGGGAAACAAGGTCCTCTACCGTGGTAAAGGCTGACAGCTCAGGGAACAGGTAGGGCAGAAGCAGGCGGCCTAGAGCAGCAGTGGCAGGCAAGGAGTAGCAAGCGACTACAGCGTCGTACAGTGCCTGTGCTGTCCTGTGCTGTCCAAAGTGGGCACATTCGGCTAACGGCAGGTGGTTGCGAATGGCCAAGCGGGCAGCAGCGTCGCGAGTAAGCCACTGTGAGCGAGTCGCACTGTCAGCTGTGGGGGGAGGGGCAGGAGCGGCGCCTGACGCAAGGTCACACAGCGAAACACTGTCCTTAGAATCGCTCAGTAGGTACAGGTGCAGGTCGTCGAGCCACGTGTCAAACTGAACCGGTCTGCCCTCGTGATCGAACGCGAGAACCCTAAGCGAAGCATTAGCTGCGCAGCACGCAGGAGCAGCAGTAGCAGCAGAAGTAGCAGCAGGAGCAGTAGCAGTAGCAGAAGTAGCACTAGCAGCAGCAGTAGCGGTAGCAGTAGCAGTAGCAGATGTAGCAGTAGCAGCAGTAGCAGTAGCAGAAGCAGCAGTAGCAGTTGCAGGGGCCGAGGGGCCGGGGGCCTAGGGACTCCGAGGGGCCTAGGGGCCAAGGGGCCGAGGGGCCGTGGGGCCAAGGGGCCAAGGGGCCGGGGGCCTAGGGACTCCGAGGGGCCTAGGGGCCAAGGGGCCGAGGGGCTGAGGGGCCGAGGGGCCAAGGGGCCAAGGGGCCAAGGGGCCGAGGTGCCGGGGGGCCTAGGGGCCGAGGCTAGGGGCGACAGGGCCGTGGCTAGGGGCGACGGGGCCGAGGGGCCAAGGTTAGGGGCGACGGGGCGATTGGTCGGGAGGGGTCGCGGCTAGGGGCGACAGGGCGACGGGGCCGCGGCTAGGAGCGACGGGTCGCGAGGGGCCGAGGCTAGGGGCGACGGGGCCGCTGTTGGGGGGGGGGGGGGGGGGGGGGGGGGGGGGGCGACGGGTCGCGAGGGGCCGAGGCTAGGGGGGGGACGGGGCGACGGGTCGCGAGGGGCCGCGGCGAGGTGCGACGGGGCAACGGGTCGCGAGGGGCCGTGGGGCCGAGGCTAGGTGCGACGGGGCCGAGGGGCTGAGGCTAGGGGTGACGGGGCCAAGGGGCCGCGGCTAGGGGCGACGGGGCCAAGGGGCCGCGGCTAGGGGCGACGGGTCGCTAGGGGCCGAGGCTAGGGCGACGGGGCGTCGGGGCCGCAACTAGGGGCGACGGGGTAATGGGTCGTGAGGGGCCGCGGCTAGGGGCGACGGGGCCAAGGGGCCGCGGCTAGGGGCGACGAGGCCAAGGGGCCGTGGCTAGGAGCGACGGGGCGACGGGGCGACTGGTCGCTAGGGGCCGAGGCTAGGGCGACGGGGCGACGGGGCCGCAGCTAGGGGCGACGGGGCAACGGGTCGCGAGGGGCCGCGACTAGGGGCGACGGGGCCAAGGGGCCGCGGATATGGGCGACGGGGCCAAGGGGCCGTGGCTAGGGGCGACGGGGCGACGGGTCGCTAGGGGCCGAGGATAGGGCGCCGGGGCAACGGGGCCGCAGCTAGGGGCGACGGGGCAACGGGTCGCGAGGGGCCGCGGCTAGGGGCGACGGGGCCAAGGGGAAGAGGCTAGGTGCGACGGGGCCAAGGGGCCGCGGCTAGGGGCGACGGGGCCAAGGGGCCGCGGCTAGGGGCGACGGGCGACGAAGGGCCTACGGGTCGCGAGGGTGGCTAGCAGGGCAGCAGGTGGTGGGCCCAAAAAAACGGTCCTAGAAGGAACCTCCTCTGAAACCATGTTAGAATTATGAACTAGCAAAAAGTTGGGTACAAGTACTAACCCTAATTGGGTTGTACCCCTTATGGGCTACCCCACTACAGCCTACACAATGTAACCTATATATAAGTTTGACATACCTTGGCAGCTCCATCAAATTCCTGGACTCGGAAAAGGTCATGATCAGAAGATTTGATCGTCTCCCACCCCAAAACCCGGAGTGACACTTGATTCGACTGTCCATCCCCTCACTGCACGCCGCACATAATCTGCACTAATTGCACGTTTTGAAGGCCTTGTTTGCCTGACACGCAGCGCACGCCTTGCATGTGGGACACACTCGGTAGGCCTTGAGCCAGAGTGGTTTCTTAAGCAGCCCCATGGTGTGGGGGCGCACAGGAGGGCGGATCGCCAGCTCGGGTATTCCCGGGAGTCCCACTCCCTTGAGATGCTTCTGGTGCTTGCTCAGGAACTGGCGGGGGGAGGGGGGGGAGGGAGGGAGGAGAGGGCAGAACAGAGGAGAGGGAGAGGTGAGAAGATGGGGAGAAGAGTTATTGGGAAACCTGACGATCACTCCTGGGAGGGTCACTGCCTTGAGCGGCTGATGCTACCTTTTCAGAAATTGGAAGGGGAGATGGGAGGGCAAGGGGTGGTAGGAGAGGAGAGGGGAAATTCAAACACACCCACCCACAGGCAAGCAAGCATGAGCCAACCAGGGAAGCCAGCACCTGGAGGGCACCCCTGCATCCACCCACGGAGGTGACTGAGGTGACTTCTGAGTCGATTCAAAAGCTCGCACAACAGCGGAACAAGCAAGCATGCACCATAGGTGGGAGAACAGAGGTGACTTCTGCTTCAGAGGGCTTTCGACACGACTCAGAAGCATGCACCAGTCAGGCAGGCAAAGCAAGAACGCACCGTGAGGGCGGTCTTCCTAGCATTCAACACATCGGCAGGTGGGAGAACAGAGGCGACTTCTTGTGAGACGTCTCAAAAGCATGCACCAACCAGGCACGCAGGCACACACGCACCTGCAGCGCTGTCTTCCTGGCATTCAACACGTCATCATCCTTCACCCTCACATCCACCGACAATCGCGAAAGCCTATCCTGCTCCATGTCTAGCAAGTCCTTCGCCTCCTCCAACTCCTCCTCCAGCCGTCTCTGCTAACTAACCAAGCTCTCACCAACTAGTAAAGGCAAGCACACAGCAGGCCGGCAGGCAAGAGCACACCTGAAGCCACACAAGCACACACCTGCAGGGCACATACACACCTCGAGGTCGGTCTTCCTAGCATGCAACACGTTGTCATCCTTCACCCTTGCATCCACCGACAGCCGTGAGAATCTATCCTGCTCCATCTCCAACAAGTCATTCGCCTCCTCTAATTCCTCCTCCAGCCGCCTCAGCCTCTCCTCTGCCTCCTTGGACCCCTCTTCCCCCGCTGCACCCTGCTTGCCCTTGGCCTCCTCGATTTGTACCTCCATGCGATGCGTCTGCTCCACTATTAATCGCACCTGCTGGAATCTCGCTTCTAGTTCCTCCACCTCACGCTGGTGGGTGGGAGAAGAGGGAGAAGAACATAAGGTATTGAAGGAGGGGTAAGCTGTCTCCATGTCTTAAATCTCCCTTCCCTCCTCCAACTCCCCCTCCAGCCTCCTCAACCTTTCCTCTGTCTCCCTTGACCCTTCTGCCCCCGCTGCTCCCTGCTTCCTCAGGAACGAGAGTGAATGAACTAGCAAAGAGTTGGGTACAAGTACTAACCCTAATTAGGCTGTTCCCCTTATGGGCTACCCCACTATAGCCCACACAAATGTAAAAGCTATAATGTTCTGACAGTTCTGTGGGCATTGATATCAGCTACTCCCATTTTCAAGGTCGAGGTAACTTCAGAGATTGAAACAGGTTGAACCAAAAGCACCGTTGAGCCATTAATTTTGCCCTGTCAGGAAGATTTTGCTTTGCAATCCAACGGCGCCAATAGCCCCTGTTGATTATAATCAAATCTCGGTGTGGCTCGGTTTGCAGAACCCAACTGAGCCTCATGTTGATTAAGTTGACTGCCAAATTTGCTTCGAGATGGAGCCGAATAACTAGCGAAGATGAGACAAACGAGTGGCTATCTCCGCTATCTACGAGAATCTTGACTAGAACTCAACGAAGCTTCCCTAGAAGCACGACTGGACGATCAACGGTGTCAACCTCGTTCGGCGTAGATGCCTGCTCTAGGGCCGTCTCCTCTACGTTGGTAGACTTGGCGGGTACGGAAACCTCCACACCAGGTAGCGACCTGCTATCTACTGGTGGTTTCCATTTCCCTGCTGCCGCTCCTTGAGCTGTAGGCAGTCCCGCTACATGTGTCCCGACTTTTTGCAGTAGTGACAGTTCCCCCTAAATCTCATTTGGTGTGAGCCATCACTGTTAACTACACCAATCTCCATAGGCGACGGCCCGTCCCTCGACGCGTTTTGCTATTGTGACAACTGATTCGAAGGTGGACAACTCGTGAATCGCGACCGTCTCCGCTATGTCCGACTTTAATTCCTCGAGGTAGCAATCGCACGTATTTGCTTTCGGAATGTCGTCTATCTCGTTGTATATACTCAAGAACTGTCGTTGATTCTTAGGGATACAACATGACGTGAATCTACGGCACGGAAGCGCGAAGGCGTGAACCGCTCGACCACCTCTCTTGTTTGTGAAAGTAAGTTTCTCACTACACCCCTCTCTCGAAGATTCACAACACTCGCTGCAACAAGGATTCACTAGAATCTGAGGGTGAAATGAAGAAAAAAGTAGCTGAGAGGAGGCTCTGATGCACAGAACGAGTGGTACTTAGCTTGGGAAGGAGCGAATCCTGAAGTGCTGCTGCTAATCCTATCAAGTAAAATATAAGGTTTGATTCAGGTTTGAGCCGCGAGGATAGGGAATCCCTAAAAGTTCCTGAAAACGGGAGGACCACTGTCATACCTAAATGGTGGAGAGGGGAGAGAAGAGCACAACATAAGCGGGGAAAGGAAACCAACCACCAAGACGAATGAGTGATTCTATCCGGCTCAGAGCGGTTATGATGAATGTAAACAGTTTGTGAGAGGTTCTTAGGGAAGTGAATCCTGTCATCCTAAAGCTCAAGGCCGAGGCAACTTCTGGGAGCGGGAGCCAAAGAAACGGCTTGAACAAAAAGCATCGTTGGGCCGTTCATTCGGCCATGTCTGGAAGATATTGTTTTGCAATCCAATGGCGCTAACAGCCCCAAATTCTGATGGCTTTTCCAGAGAATGTCGCTGCCAAAATGACAGGCATGATACTCGCCAGGGAATGGAGGATGCTGAGGCGGTAGAAGCAGTTTGGTAATGAGTCAGAAATGCCGTTGCACTCATCCCAAAGTACCTGTAAGCAAAAGGCCTGCCCAGGTTGAGATAAAAAAAAGTATTATTAACATAGTTTAACCTTTTCTTCTACATATGTGTCATGCTTGTGCATAAATTAGAAATGATTGGAGGTTAAAGCCAAATATTTTTGGTAACATACATACATACATATCCCAAAATTACTTTAGATGAAGTGTGCAAGTGTTGCAAAAGCGAATCGCAATGTGCGATGCGTGAGAGTATAGGTGCGCAATTATGGGTCAGCCGCACATTTCGCGCAACTGAGAACAGTGAGGTGATGACGAAGTGAACCCCTACCAGTTATCCTCGAAACCTCTTCACCACTCTTCACCGTAATAAATGTATTCCTTACCCCTTATGTTTTTGACCTCTCTCTCACAGAACCCAACTGCGCCAGCAGCCCAACCCCCAACCCGCAGATTCTCATGTTACATAATTTCGAAATGACACCAGTCACAGTGACGAGATTTTTAAGTAGCAAACTTGGGTGGCCCAACTTCCCCACAGATCCCCGCCGCATCTGACGGTATGAGGCCCAGCATTTGACCCAGGCGCTACGAGAAGCATCATGCGAACGAATCGCGTCATCCGATGCCGAGCCGCAACATGCCATCAAAGCCTGCAATCGGCGCTCACGCTAGCATATTTAAACCTGTGGGGAGTTTGAAACAACTCATCCAGCTCAGTACACCCAGTAAATCCATTCCAGTACAACCTCCCTCGGCGTTTCTTTCACAGCTCAGCTGATAGCATTAGTATCGACCTCCATCATGGGCACGATTCGCCCTCGTTTTCTGCTCGCACTCGTCCTCGTGGCGTCTTTGAACTTCCTCGCGGTTTTCGCCGCGCTCCCTCCGGATAGATACTACGATGCGAGCGAGCCCGCCGGTCTCGAGGAAGCACACGACGCGCGCGCGCTCTTAGAGGCCGAAAGCGAGGCTGCATTTGACGCCGTTGACTGGGTTGAATCCGATAACTCGGAGGATCCGCGAATCCTGGCGGATGTGGCGGCGGACTTGAAGCAGTCGTCGGACGACTTGAGCGGCGCCGTGAAGAAATCTCTCGGGCAGGCGGGGAGGAACGTGCGCAACTCGATCGGGTCCATGATCGGAGTCCCGACCAATAAGGGAAAGAAGAAGCACCAGCACCGCGGCGGGAAGAAGCACCAGCACCGCGGCGGGAAGAAGCACCAGCACCGCGGCGGGAAGAAGCACCACCACCGCCCAACCGGGCCGGCGGGAGCTGGTAAGCGGCGCAGCTCGGGCGCAGCCCCCAAGACGTCCGCTGCTCCCGCTGCTGGCGCGCCGGGGCTTCCCAAGAAGCAGGCGGGAGCAAAGGACACCTCGGGCGCAGCACCCAAGCCCCTCGCTGCTCCCGCTTCTGCAAACGATCCGCGCGCGCTCCTCGAGGCGGCCGACAGCGATGCGGCCTTGTTTGAATCCGTTGACTCGGTTGACTTTGAGGACCCGCGTGTGCTCCGTACGATTGAGGATGTGGCGGCGGACGTGAAGCAGTCGTCGGACGACTTTAGCGGCGCCGTGAAGAACTCTATTGGGCGGATGGGGACGAACATGCGCAATTCGTTCGAAAGGATGACCCGACCTGGCAGGTTCGACGGGGTGACCAAGCCGCGCACCAAGCCTGGTGTGCAGTCTTTCACGAAGCCGGTCACCAAGCCTGGCTCGAAGCCGGTCACCAAGCCTGGTGTGAAGCCTGGCTTGAAGCCGGTCACCAAGCCTGGTGTGCAGCCTTTTAAGGAGAGGTTCAGATGGCCTGGTGTGCTGCCTGGCTCGAAGCCGGTCACCAAGGCTGGTGTGCAGCCGAGGACCAAGCCGGTGACCAAGCCGAGACCCAAGCCACTCTCCAAGTCGGCGATTTGAAGCTTGCAATGGAACGGGGAGGGTGGCAGCAAGGGGAAGGGAGTAGCGGCAGACAGCAACTAGTTGCTGGCGTGTGTGTGTGTGAGGGGAGGGTGGGGGGGAAGGAGGGGGATGGGGTGGGGGCTGCTTGTGTTTGTGCTATCTCAGGGGTGTGAGGGAGCATTTGAGTGGGTGTGGAGGGTGGGAAATGGAAGGGGCAAGACAGGCAAGCTGGATCATCCTGCTTCGCCTTTTTCTTGGATCGTACTGCTTCGCTTTTGCTTTTCTTTGCATCTTGGTGTCATTTTCTCCTCCTGGGCTACTCCTACTTTACGGGAGTTAGGTGCTTTCTTTGCATTTGGTGGGCAGTTGATAGTGATGCTATGTGTGCATTTGTAGTTAGATGCTTTCTTTGCATTTGGTGGGCTGTTGATAATGAAGCTATGTGTGCCTTTGCCAATATCACTGTTCTCTGCTCTCAGAGATCCCAAACCATCCTGCTTGACAGTCCTGAGTAAGGTAACAACAGCATTTGCTATCTCACGAGTTTTTTCCCTTTTTTTTTCTGGAAGGATTTTGTTCTGAGAGCAAAGATTCTCCATCCTGCCCCAAAGTCAGCTGTGATGCCTGCTCTTCAGACCCTTGAAACGTGCCTAACCAACAAGGGACCGCAGGAAATTCCTTTTCCTGAAGCACATACGGTAAGCCTTTCCAAACGTGTCAATCATACCTTACACAACACACAACCACATTAACTGTCATCCAGAGCCACCCACATGCGCTAGTTGCCGCCCAAAGCCGCCCATTCCAGATCTGCCATAGTAGGCCCCACGCCTCCTCCTCCCCTCCCTCCCTCCCCCTGACTCCCTGCACTTGCCTTTCCCTTCCCATGCTCCTTGCCCCCAGTCCCTCTCTCAACCCCCTGAAACGCAGTCACCCCTCCTGCTCCTGCTACTCCTGCTGCTCCTCCTGCCAAGCCCACTCCAGCCGCTGCTGCTCCCTCTTTCCTCCCACTCTCAGCAACCCTAGCCTTGGCAGCAAATTCTCTCTCAAACTGACCGAAATCCACAGGCACAGCAATGGTCGCCGGCCCACGCTTTGGCTCACCTGCCCCTTCCAGCACCGAAAGGTCAAGCGGAGCAGACATGCCCTCTACACCACTGGAGCCAGCCCTAGGAGGTGGGGGGCGCGAGAACAGAGCATCGTCTTGTGTGGCAGAATCAGGTGCGGTCCAGTTCCCTCCCGCAGCAGCGGTAGCAAGGGACCATGTTGGTGGTGCTGCTGCGGCCGCGGCTGCTGCAGCAGAAGACTGGTATCCTCCAGCAACCCCTCCTGCTGCTCCGAACCCCATACTGCCATCCTCTGAGGTTTGAGCGACGGAGAATTCCCAAGGGGGGACGATTTGGATGGGCGGGTCTTTGGTGGTGGGAGCGAGGGTTTGGAAGGGGTCTTCGGAGGCCTGGGTGTTGGCGAAGAGGGTGTTGAAATGCGCTGTGTGCAGCATGTTGTGCCGCTTCAGCTGCACCACCGGTTCCATTGCTTCAGGAGCGCTGCCAGGGTAGGCCGGCCGTGGGACTGGGGGCCAGGGAGAAGGGGAGATGGGGACACGGGAGAAAGATAGGAAGGGGAGGACGGGAGAGAGGGTGTGAGGGAGAGATTGTGAGGGAGAGAGTGTGAGGGAGAGTGTGAGGGAGAGAGATGCACCTCCTCCTTCCGCAGCCATCGAGGAGGGGTGCCAGGGTGGGCCGGCCATGGGACTGGGGCCAGGGATCACAGGAGAAACAGAGGAAGTGGACAACAGGAGAGGGACTGCGAGAAAAAAAGCTGCATCTTCTCCTTCTGAAGCCATCGGTTCCATTGCTTGAGGAGGGCTGCCAGGGTGGGGCGCCCGTGGGACTGTGGAGAAATGGCAGGAGAGACAGCGGATGTGGAGGACAGGAGAGGGAGTGAGAGGGGAAGAGTGCGAGAAAACAAACTGCACCTCATCCTTCTGCAACCATCGGTTCCATTGCTTGAGGAGGGCTGCCAGGGTAGGCCGGCTGTGGGACTGGCGGGGGGGAGAAGGAAGCAGAGGGAGAGGCGTTGAGAGTGAGATAGGTGGTGCCTCAAGTGCACTCTCCTCAGTCTGCAACCACTGGTTCCATTGCTTCAGCAGAGCTCCGAGCGTGGGTCCTCCGTGGGATGATAATACGTTTGTGTGATTCCATTGATGTACCTCTATCCACGGGAATCTATTTTGTGACTCTACTCCTGCCTCTCACCAGGGCGTGCAGAGCAGCTTCAGGCACCATGCCTGTGTCGGCCCATGCCTTCTCCAACATATTCGCATCCCCCAGCAGCGCTGCTGCACATGCAGCCTCCCGACCGCACCCTCCCCGCACAAGTGATTGAATTTGCATCTGCAAGTGCGCGAGGGTGGGTGGAGAGGAGAGAGAGATGTGAGAATAGAGCATGTGGCAAGGCACATCCGACATATCAGAAGCAAGGCAGGATGCATACAAACCTCCAGCAGGCTCTCCAGCACGCTTTCGACTTTTGAGGCGCCTCAGAAGTAGACTTGCCCCGCTGGCTGCCCTACCGCCCTTTACAATGCATGCAAAGCTGCAGCACGCTTGTGTTGCTCACGTGCAGCCTGATCCCCTCCCCGTGCAGGGTCAGCCGCAGAGACACCCTCCAGAGCAGGACAGCCTTACTGCCCTCAAGGATACACACACACTGCTCACCTGCAGGCTGGTGACTTTTGAGTCGACTCAAAGGTCTCTGTGTCCCCTCGACGTGCAGTGTCAGCCGCAGAGACACCCTGCGCTGCACGGCTGGCAGCAGGGCGCCCTCTAGCAGGCTCGGCCCCGCAATGTAGCTGCCCTGTAGTGAACCGTTAGAGTCAGCCAAGACTCCCGCGTGCGTTGCTCACCTGTAGTCTCGTCCCCTCCCCGTGCAGGGCCAGGCGCAATGAAACTCTCCGCTGCACGGCTGGCAGCAGGGCGCCCTCCAGCAGGCTCGCCCCCGCCAGCTGGCGCAGCGCTCGGACCGCCACGTCAGCCTGCCCCGTGGCGTCCGCAGCATCAACCAGGTCGAGGAAATCTGAGGCATAGCGCGCCACCCCCACTGCCGCCTCCATCATGCTGCACGCGAGAAGGGGAAGTGGTTGGAGGGGTGGAGGGTTTCAGATACACAAGAGGTGGAGGGTTTCAGATACACAAGAGGTGGAGGGTTTCAGATACACAAGAGGTGGAGTGGCGTCCGCTGCGTCTACGAGGTCGAGGAACTCGGAGGCATAGCGCGCCACCCCGACCGCTGCCTCCATCATGCTGTGTGTGGGGTGGGAAGGAGGGAGAAGTGGTTGGAAGGGATTAAGAGAATGCCAATTCGCCTGCCCTGTGGAACTGGGAGGCATAGTGTGCCACTCCCATTGCCGCCTCCATCATGCTGTGTGTGGGATGGGATGGCGGAAGGGGTTGCATAAAAGGGCAGGGGGGCTCATGGGAAGGTGGGGGAAAGATGTGCTCCTTGTTAAAGAGGACGGTGTTGCTTTTGAGAACTCTCAAGGGCAACACCAAACTAGGAGGCATAGCGAGCCACACAAGCTACCTCTGTCTCTAGCACCACACAAGCTCATACAACCCACCACCAGCGCTCACTCTCACCCCAGCACTCACTTGGCTTGAGATGCCGCCATGGCGAGGATGCCAGTGGAGTCCATCTCGCTGTCCATAGCTGCACCAGCATGGTGCAGGAAGCTTATTGTACCGCACACCACCGCTCATCACTCACTTGGCTTGACTTGCAGCCATGGCGAGGACGCCAGTGGAGTCCATCTGGCTGTCCATTGCTGCATTGGCATTGAAGGTCCCACACTCCCTACCAGTGCTCATCATGGTACGAATGAAGCTTCCTCAGTCCCACACCGCACACCACCGCTCATCACTCACTTGGCTTGAGAAGCCGCCATGGCAAGGATGCCAGTGGAGTCCATCTGGCTGTCCAAGGCTGCATCGGCATCAGTCACGGCCGCCCCCGAGGCGGACATGGGGCGGGAGAGCGCCATGAGGCAGTGCAGCGCGCGGTCCAACTCGCCACACGAGAGCGCCAACTCGTACTCAAACCTGCCACAGAAGGGCGGGAGAAGCAGCAGTAGCAGAAGTAGCAGCAGCATAAGCATGGGGCACAGCTGCCCCACGAGGCGGACATGGGGCGGGAGAGCGCCATGCGGCAGTGCAACGCGCAGTCCAACTCGCCACATGACAGAGCCAACTCGTACTCAAACCTGATGGGGAGGGGGATTGGGAACAGGGGAGGATCATGAGCATCTGCGTCGGCAACGGCTGCCCCACGAGGCGGACATGAGGCAGTGAAGAGCGCGGTCCAACTCGCCACATGATAATGCTAGCTCGCACTCAAACCTGATGTGGAGGGGGATTGGGGAGGGGGAGAGCATTATGCAGGTGCAGCGCCTCTCTCCCACACCCGTGCCCACCATGAAGTGTGTGTGAGTCAGTCAGCATCCTGTACCTGTACACATGCATGCATGTACTATGCTGTCGATTTTTTAGACGTCTCAAAAGTCGCCTCTCTCCCACACCCGTGCCCACCATGAGGTGTGTGAGTCAGCATCCTGTATACTGGTATGGCTGTACTATACTGTCGATGCAACACCCCATACACATGCATGTACGATACTACTGTCGATACGATACCCATTGATTCAAACTCAAACACACCCACCTCTCGGACAGCCCAGGAAGGTGCAGCGCCTCTCTCGCATACCCCATGCCCACCATGCACTGCGCAAGAAGCACCCTACCTACCTACCTACCTACCTACCTACCTACCTACCTACCTACCTACCTACCGACACTCCACAATCTGCCATCACTCCAATCCACTTGTCGCCATCCACCTCTTGGACAGCCCGGGCAGGTGCAGCGCCTCTCTTGCATACCCCATGCCCACCACGCACTGCGTGAGCCAGCCTGTATACATACATATACATGCATGTACTATACTGCAGTAGTCATTACCATACCTCTTGGACAGCCCTGGCAGGTGCAGCGCCTCTCTCGCATATCCCATGCCCACCATGAACTGGGCCAAGTCGTCATGGTGCTCTCTCCCCGGGCGGGACGCCCTGGTGGGGAGGGGAGTGGTGAGGGGTGGTGAGGATTGGTGAGGAGTGGTGAGGGATTGTGAAGTATTTAGACAGAACAGGTAGAAACATGCACCCGCTCGTGCCTATCACTAGGGCAAGTCAGGAGTGATTTGCCCCAGGCGAGATGCAGTGGTGGGGAGTGGTAAGGAGGGAGGGAGTGGAAGAAAATGGACGAGGGTAGAGAGCGATCAAGGAAGAGGGAAGGGATGAGACACGAAATACTACAGCGAGATAGAGAGAAATGCCAAGAGATACGGAGAGAGAGGTGAAGAGGGATAAAGACTGGTGGAGAGGGATATAGAAGGTGAACGCACCACTTGACGGCACCAACAGGGTCGCCATGAGCAGCAAGGCACCGGCAGCGCACTCCTGGGTGGGAGAGGGAGATGGCATGCGCTGTCATGTACCTGGTGAGAGGGAGTGAGGGGGTGAGGGGGTCAGGATGGAAGGCGCGTTAAGATCAACGAGGGAAGAGGGGTAAGGGGGGACACTAAAGAGAGGACTGTGGGCCTTTCTATTCAGAGACCACCATAGCAACTTTACTCACCGGTCCACGAGCCATAGAACTCCATCTCGCACCCCCACCACATACACCTGCCCCACCGGCCGCCGCTGCTCCATGGGCAGCCGCCCATATACAGGCACAGGCCTTACCACTCAGACACCACTGCGGCAGTGCTACACACGTCTCCACTCACCGGTCCACGAGCCACAGGACGCCGTCTCGCACCCCCACCACATACACCTGCCCCACCGGCCGCCGCTGCTCCATCGGCAGCCGCCCGGCTGCCACCGGCATGCCCCCGCCGCCCACCACCACTTCAGGCGGCTTCACCTCGGGCCCGTCCAGCAGCCCCGGGCCTGATGACGTGCCGGGCGGGCCTGACGTGGCGTCGGCTGATAGGCTGCGGGCTCGAGCCATGGCTGAGATTGGAGGGACTGCTGGGGGGGAGGAGAAGGAGGCGAGGCGGACCACCTGGGGGGAACAGGGAGGGAGGAAGGGGGAGGAGAATGGGAGAGAGGGAGAAGGGGAGGTGAGAGGAGCGAGTCGCTTCTGAGAATCCTCTGAAGCGAAGCAGGCAGGGCGAACCACATGGGGGGACAGACGAGGGGAGGGAGGAGTAGAGAAACAGATAGAGACAGCAAGAGTGTAGAAGCCTCACCTACAGAGCCAATTCGTCCATCCCAGGCTCACAGGAGAAGAGGCACCCTACTGTAACATGCTGCAATGCACTGCACCGCACCGCACTCACCTGCAGCATGGGAGGCCGCAGCTGCACTCTCTCCAGTGCGTCATCTGTTTTGGGCGGCGCCATGGCCAGCAGAGCCAGCTCGCCCTTCCCACGCTCACAGGTGCCGCACAAACCTCCTGCAACTCGCTCCACCGCACTGCACCGCAGCCGCAGGGCACCGCACTCACCTGCAGCATGGGAGGCCGCGGTTGAACCCTCTCCGGTGCCTCACCTGTCTTTGGCGGCGCCATGGCCAGCAGAGCCAGCTCGCCCTTCCCACGCTCACAGGTGCCGCAAAACCCTACTGTAACACGCTTCACTGCGCTGCACCACCACTCACCTGCAGCATGGGTGGGCACAGCTGAACCCGTTCAGGTGCCTCATCCGTCTTGGGAGGCTTCATGGCCAGCAGAGCCAGCTCGCCCTTCTCAGGCTCACAGGCAGGCAGACCCTACTGTAACATGCTCTACCGCACTGCACCACAGTTCACCGCACTCACCTGCAGCATGGGAGGCCGCAGCTGAACCCTCTCCGGTGCCTCATCCGTCTTGGGAGGCGCCATGGCCAGCAGCGCCAGCTCGCCCTTCTCTGCCACAACCTTCGCCTCCTCCTCCCTCCTCTTCCTCTCCTCCTTACGCCTCCTCGTTTCCAGGTCGATCGCACTCACTCCCGCATCCACAAACACACACCTGGATGGAGGGAGGGGGGGGAGGAGATACGTGATGTGAAGGGAGGAGGGGATGGGTTCAACACCAGTGAAAGCCCTTCTCCGCCACCACCTTCGCCTCCTCCTCGCCTCGCTCCTCCTTGCGCCGCCTTGTTTCCGGATCAAGGCGCTCCCTCCGGCATACACAAAGACACATCTGGATGGAGGAGGGAAGGCAACGAGAGGAGGAATGGAGAGGGGTAGCACAGCCGGTGCCACATGTCCCCCAGTGGCCCCTCACGCACACTAATCCCTCCAACCCCTTACAACCCCTTCATACCCCTTTGAACACCTTTAAACCACTCCACTGAGGTAGGAGTGGCGAAGAAGGTGGTGCCAGGTGCCTCCGGTGGCGCCCCTGAATGTCCAGCACACAGCATCGTACATTCTAGCCTCCTCCCCACCCATTTGAACTGCTTCCAACCCCACCCAACGATTCAACTCACTCCACGAAGGTGGGGGTAGCCAGGAAGAGCTGACGGCACTGCCACATGCCCCTGGTGGCCCCTCTGACAGCAATGTGGCCCAGGCAGCGGAACTGCGGGCGCAGCGCACAGCAAACTCACGAACTCCAAACAAACCCCTCAGGACCCCTCCAAACCCCTGGAACCACTCACTCGACTGAGGTGGGGGTAGCCAGGAAGAGCTGGCGGCGGTGCCACGTGCCTCCTGTTGCCCCTCTGACTGCCACGTGGCCCAGGCAGCGGAACTGCGGGCGCAGCGTTGCCACCACGATGTGCGTGGCGTAGGCAAAGGCGCAGTACTCTACAATGGGGTCCCACGCGGTCCAGTGCGGTTCTGGTAGCATGCCGCTGACTGGCTTGAACGTCTCCCAGCTGCGAAGGGGAAGGGGACAGTTGAAGAAAAAAAGAGGTGCGACAGGGACGGGGTGACTTTTGAGACGTCTCAAAAGAGGTGCGACAGGGACGGGGTGACTTTTGAGACGTCTCAAAAGAGGTGCGACAGGGACGGGGTGACTTTTGAGACGTCTCAAAAGAGGTGCGACAGGGACGGGGTGACTTTTGAGACGTCTCAAAAGAGGTGCGACAGGGACGGGGTGTGGTGAGTGGGAAGGGTGAGGACAGACGGAGCAGCAGACAGGCGGAAGAAGGATGGGGAGGAAGTGAAGGTGAAAAACGAAAACGTGAGACACAGACAAAAAGTGAAAGGCCCAAGGACATAGACAAAAGGTGTGAAAGGAAAGAGAGTACCTTATAAGGTGGAAGTTTGGCGGATGCTCACAGTAATCCGCCATAGATTCTGAATGGGTGAGAGGACGATGAGGCAGTTATAAAGAGAGAGAGAGAGGGACTGCCTTGCCATCCTGGAGCCGGCATTGGAGCTCACTTAGGTGGAGAGAGAGGGTTAGTAGGACGTGGGAGGAGGGTTAGAGGCTAGAATGCATGCTATATGTACACAAGGGCATGTCTGTACCCGCTCAGATCTAATACACGGACCGCTTGAAGAGAGGAAATAGAGGAATGGAGCATGAAATTTTTTTGGAAGAACAAAAAACCCAAACTAAAGAGCTGATATTGCTCAAACTGCATGACGTATATGTTTCTGCGAGCCAGGCATTTTTCTATAGTTCTCAAGCGTTTTAACAGGCACAACCCACCAGCTCGGGAGGAGGGGGCAGCAGAGGGTAGGCTGACCCCTGGCAGAGCTGCTTTCCCTAGGCATGCTGTAGGCCACTCCCAGCAACAGCAGCTCTCCACCCATCACCCGGTGACGACTCAATGAGCGCTGCTCTCACTGCACACTTAGCTAAGCAAGAGCCCAACCCACCAGCTCGGGAGGAGAGCGCAGCAGACGGCAGGCTGACCCCCGGCAGAGAGGCCTTCTTGGGCATGCGGTAGGCCACCCCCAGCAGCGCGCCTGGGAAGAGACCCGTGACCTGCATGGCGTGCAGGGACGGGTGGGCAGGGGGCACGGCAGACAGGTGGAGCGTGCGGGTTACAACCAATTTTCCAAGCAACAAACATTCTATTCACATATAATCCGTGTGTGATGAGTCGATTTTTTAGTCGACTAAAAAATTGACTCATCACACTCGTGATCTGCATGGCGTGCAGGGACGGGTGGACAGGGGACAAGGCAGACAGGTAGAGCGTGCGGGATGAGATGAGATGGGAAGAAATAGACAGGATCATTTTATGCAAAGGGATGAAAGACGTGGAAGATGATAAAAGTGTCCAGATTCGATGAATCCAGCTTCCAGCTGTCTCAAGCTCAAATACCATCACAGATACATACCTGCTCGCGGCGTCCAGTTTCAATGAACCCAGCTTCCAGCCATCTCTCAACTCCCAGCTCAATTCACACAAACCTGCTCGAGATGTCCGGATTCAATGAACCACCCAGCCGTCTCAAGTCTCACATCATTTCCCACACACCTGCTCGCGGCGTCCAGATTCAATGGATGTGCACATGATCTGCACTTTCCCGTCCTTCCGGATCCACCGGACCTCCACAGTTGCCCCGGCCAGCGCTGCCGCAGCAGCAGCCATGGCAGCCGCCGCTGCCGCCTCTGCTTCCTTGGCATCCTTCTTGCTTCTTCCCCGGAACCCGTGCCTGCCTGAACTGGCAGAGCTGCTTTGCACCTGGGGGAAGAGTGGGTGGGAAGGAAACCCACGGGGGAGAGAGAGGCAGGCAGGGGAGAGAGTGTGACCCTGCCAGCAGCAGCAACCATGGCAGCCGCTGCTGCCGCCTCTGCCTCTTTGGCGTCCTTCTTGCTTCTCCCTCTGAACCCGTGCCTGCCTGAACTGGCAGAGCTGCTTTGCACCTGGTGGGAGGGATAGCAGGCGCGAGGCGCAACGGAGAGTGACAGAAAAAAGAGCTGGACTCTGCTGGCAGCAGCTGCTGCTGTCTCTGCCTCATGACGCATGGAGAGGGAACACCACACAGAACACTGCAACACCACCTCATATTCCATCGTATCTTGGGCATAGCTCCTCCCAGGATGGCGAAGCGGTCCTGACAGGTGTCCCGGGCAAAGTGGGGAGCCATGCGTGTGATGCATGGCGAGGGAGAGAGGCAAGTCCGAGGTTGTACAAGGCACAGACTGCTCTGAAGAAGGCAGAGGTGCTAGCATTGGCATTACGTTGGGCACCACGGCCCCTCCCAGGATGGTGAAGCGGTCCTGACAGATGTCCCAGGCGAAGTGAAGGGCGATGGGCATGCGATGCATGGAAAGGGGGAACACACTGACAGTGGTTGTAGATACTCCTTACCTTGGGCACCACAGCTCCTCCCAGGATGGCGAAGCGGCCCTGACAGGTGTCCCAGGCGAAGTGGCGGGTGTTGGGCATATGATACAGCCCCAAGTGCTGCCTTACCTTGGGACACGTGTGCTCGCATACTGCCTTACCTTGGGACAAGTGTGCTCGCATACTGCCTTACCTTGGGACAAGTGTGCTCGCATGCTGCCTTACCTTGGGACAAGTGTGCTCGCATACTGCCGTACCTTGGGACAAGTGTGCTCGCATACTGCCTTACCTTGGGCACCACAGCCCCTCCCAGGATGGCGAAGCGGTCCTGACATGTGTCCCAGGCGAAGTGTCGCGCCGTGCCAGAGTCCACCACACCCCAGTCCGCTGTGCTGTACACGCTGTAGAACGGCACCTCGGGCCACAGCACTGCCAGGTACCTGGTGAATAAAAGTGAAGGGAAGGAGGGCCCAAGTGAGGGACGAGGGAAAAGGGTGAGGCCGTGCCCGAGTCCACCACACCCCAGTCTGCCGTGCTGTACACGCTGTAGAATGGCACCTCGGGCCACAGCACTGCCAGGTACCTGGTGTGGTTAGTAGTCAAGGGAAAGAAGTGAGGGACCAAAGGAAGGAGGTGAGGGACGGAGGGGAAGGGGTTAGAGGGGTTGAGGAGGAGAGCAAGAACGTCCACCACCCCCCAGTCCGCAGTGCTGTAAACGCTGTAGAATGGCACCTCGGGCCACAGCACTGCCAGGTACCTGGAGTGGTTAGAAGACAGGGGAAGTGAGGGTCCAAACAAGGGCTCGATGGATGGAAAGGGGTGAGGGGTCGAGAGGGAGTGTAAGAGAGTCCGTCCACCACGCCCCAGTCCACTGTGCTGTAGAACGGCACCTCGGGCCACAAAACTGCCAGGTACCTTATAAAAAAGTGTGAAAAGTGAGGGCAAGGGAAAGGAAAGGCATGACAGGGGGTGGAGGAGGGCAAGGGAAAGGAAAGGCATGACAGGGGGTGGAGGAGGGCAACGAAGTTCACCACGCCCCAGTCTGCTGTGGTGTAGAGGCTGTAGAATGGCACCTCGGGCCACAGCACTGCCAGGTACCTGGAGTGGTTGTGGGGTTCATGATCCAATGGAGAAGGGCGAGGGATGGAGGGGCGCAGGATCAGGATTACTCAAACAGTTCGACTTGGTGTGTTGCTTGAGATCGGAAGAGCATGAACTGCTCCAACTGCTCAGTGCAGGTGCTAAGCTGGAGGAGCTAAGGGTGCAACAAGATGACACATTCTCAGATGCAGTGGTAGAGGGAGGCACGCTGGGATTGTTCGCTAGTTCAACCGTGGTCATATTACACCTGACCACGGTCGAACAAGCGAGCAATCACAGCGAGCTTCCGCTACCACTGCGTCTAGAAAGGTGTCACTCTGTTGCACCCTTAGCCCCTCCAGCTTACCACATGCACTGAGCAGTTTGAGTCGTTCCTGCTTCTCCTACCGTAAGCAGCACACCAAGGTGAGCCGTTCAAGCTACCTGGTGCAGTTCTTGTGGGATCAATGAAGCGAAGGGCCAAGGGTAAGGCGTGAAGGGCCAGCCGCCAAGGGTAAGGCGTGAAGGGCTGCACTGCAGCACTGCCATGTTCTTGATGACGGGAGCTGGTTTGTTTGGTTTGTAATCTCAAGATTAGGGCTTGCGTAATAGTAGGACATTGCCGCAAAGCCTGATAGTCATTGTGGCCAGGCAAGCCTCGGTTGGTGGGATGTCCATCATGGGTATGACTACTTACTTGCCGGACCTACTTACTCGCCAAACCTACTTACTTGCCGGACTTGCTGACAGAGAGGTGCGAGTAGCTCTCATGTGCAACAGGTGCTGCTCTCCTCCTCTCCTGCTTCACCTGCACGTAGGGTGAGCAGGTGTGGTGAGCGGGTGGAGTGGGGAAGCAACACAAGCAGGAAGGCAAAACAGAAACACCATACAAGAGCTTTGAGCTTTTATAAACTGACAACGAGGTGATTCGGAAATTGTCCGTCCACGTGCACTCTATACCCTTTAAGGACCGACTCACCTCAGACACAGCAGCTTCACGCGTTCCACCCTGGCTGCCACTGCCCCCCCACCCACCACAATCACACTCACCCGCTGCATACTCAGCCTAGTTACACCTCTCTCAAGGCAATACCGGCTCACGTCAGGCACAGCAGCTTCAAGAGCATCCACCCGTGTGACTCCAGCCGGGGTGACGGGCCTCTGACTGCCACTGCGCTGCCCCCTTCCCAGCCAGCCAGCCTCAAGACAGCGCTAAACTCACCTCAGGCACGGCAGCTTCAAGCGCATCCACCCGTGTGACTCCAGCAGGAGTGACGGGCCTCTGACTGCCACTGCCCCCGCCCCCCGCCACAGTCACACCCGCCCCAGGCCCAACCTGCCCTGCTGTTAGCAGCTGGAAGGCGAGTGCGTTCAGCCCCCTGCCAAGGCAGAACGCCACCTGAGGGGTTGAGGGGAGGGGACGGGTGGTAGTAGGTTGGGAATATACGCCTCACAAACACTACCAGATCAAACCATTTTCTGAGTCTCGTCAAGTCAGCAGCTGGAAGGCGAGTGCGTTCAGCCCCCTGCCTGGGCAGAACGCCACCTGAAAGGGTGTGAGAGAAGGGGTAAGAGGGAAAGAGAAGCGATGGAGGAGGGCAGGCGAGAGTGGGTCAATGAGCAGCTGGAACGCCAGCGCATTCAGCCCCCTTCTCAGGCAGCAGAACGCCACCTGGAGGAGAAGAGGAGGGGGATTGGTGGTAGTAGGCTGGAGCATAGGGCTGCAGTGACAGCCTCTGATCTACCTCACTCACTCTTAACCCATGAGAACACTCAGTGTTGGCTGTGGCCACACCAGCAATTTGGTCCAAGGCGTTCTTGGCTCATCCAAGTTCCAACTCTGAGGGTTAGTGAGTTCGGTCGGAGGCTAATGATATTACCCACTCAATCCCTTGAGCACAGCATATCTGGTGTGCCGGCCGTATTCACCATGTGCATACTATACAACACAAGGTGTGCCGGCCAACCATGTGCCCACCTGGTGCTGCCTGGAGCCCTGCGGTGTGGGCAGAGCTGCTGCGGGAGGCACAGCAGTGCGGTCGAAGCAGATGAGCATCACCCCCACGTTGGTGCCGCACTCACTCACTCACTCACTCAGGCACTCACATGTGCACCCTGATATCCCTCAATTGCATCCCATTTTCACACCTGATGCTGCCGGGAGCCCTGTGGCGTGGGAAGAGCTGCTGCAGGGGTCACAGCAGTGCGGTCGAAGCAGATGAGCATCACCCCCATTGGTATGCACTTTGATATCCCTCGCCCTCATCCCATGTACCTACCTGGTGCTGCCGGGAGCCCTGTGGTGTGGGAAGAGCCGCTGCAGGGGGCACGGCCGTGCGGTCCAAGCAGATGAGCATCACCCCCACGTTGGTGCCGCACACTCACTCACTCACTCGCTCACTCACTCGCTCGCTCACTCACTCGCTCGCATGTGCACTCTAGTATCCCTCGCTCGCATCCCAGCTCCTCACCTGGTGCTGCCTGGATCCCTGGGGTGTAGGAAGAGCGGCTGCAGGGGGCACAGCAGTGCGGTCAAAGCAGATGAGCATCACCCCCACGTTGGTGCCACACACCACTAGATGTGGCTGCAGGCTGTGCGGCATCATGCAGTAGATCTGATGCATGGTGAGGTGGAGAGGAAGAGTGGAGATGGGGAAGGGGTGAAAGCAGATGAGCATCACGCCCACGTTGGTGCCACACACCACCAGATGTGGCTGCAGGCTGTGCGGCATCATGCAGTAGATCTGATGGGCAGGGAGGGAAGGGCCGACGGGGAGAGTGTTTTTTGAGAATTCTAAAAAAAAACACACACAAGGGAGACGACAGGAGAGAGGAATGGAACAGGGAGAGAAAGGGGAGGGGAGGAAGGGGTGGAAGCAGATGAGCAGATATCCCATGTTGGTACCACACACCACGAGGTGTGGCGGCAGGCTGTGCGGCATCATGCAGTAGATCTGATGCAGAGGGAGGGAAGGAAAGGGGAGGGGGGAGGAGGGAGGAAGAGGAGCGAAAGGGTCGACGCAGATGAGCAGCACTGTCACAGTAATTCACTCTAGCTTCTATTCATCTGCTTCTCATCCTACATGTCATCATACAATCTAGTTTCTTTCCTCACATCCCGACTCGTTCTAAGCAACGGCCATGCAAACACAAGTCACTGCCATATGCTTTCTGATTCATTTATAGGAAGTCTCAAAACTGCCTGCCTGCCTGCATCACTCACTCACCTTGAGCTTCGTCCTGCTGCCAGCTGCGGGGTGGGGGGCGCGTGGGTGGAGAGGTCACAGATAGGCCTGCTGCCTCCTGTGCATGTCAGGTATCTTCGGATTCAACTCAGAACTTGCCTGTGGCGCAGAGCTCACCTTGAGCTTCTTGCCTGCTGCCAACTGGGGAGTAGGGGGCGCGTGAGTGGAGAGGTCACATATGGGCCTGCTGCCTCCTGATGCCTCCAACGCCCTGAGAGCGGTGAAAGTGACAGTGGCGACTCAGGTGAGGAGAGGAAGAGGAAAGGGTGGGGACTGTGTGAGTGGTGAGGCCACAGATAAGCCTGCTGACCCCTGATGCCTCCAATCCAATGCTCTGAAAGAAGCATGCCTTCTAACCAGAAACCCACACATCGTTAATCCACACATGCATCATATGCAACCTTCCTCTGTCAGTCCCTGCTGCCCATAAAAAAAATGCCAAAGCACGCCACCAACAACCACATGAGCATATCACGCCACCCACCACATGCGCCAAAGCATGCCAGCCACCACATGTGCCAAAGCACGCCACCCACCACATGCGCCAAAGCACGCCACCCACCACACATGCGAGTCCTTGGCACAGGCGAGCACCTCGACAGCTGGCACGCGCGGGTGGCGCCAGCTGGCAATGGTGTGGCAGACGGTTTTGGGAATGGCATGCTTCATCCGCCGCACCTCCTGCCGCAAATAGAAAACAAGACAGGCGAAAGCAGCGGAAACGGCAAATGGGGAGCGGGTGGTAAGTGCAGTCAAGTCAAGTGTGGCGGACAACCGGCTTTGAGAATGGCGTGATTTAGCTGGCTTTGAGAATGGCGTGATTTAGCTGGCTTTGAGAATGGCGTGATTTAGCTGGCTTTGAGAATGGCGTGATTTAGCTGGCTTTGAGAATGGCGTGATTTAGCTGGCTTTGAGAATGGCGTGATTTAGCTGGCTTTGAGAATGGCGTGATTTAGCTGGCTTTGAGAATGGCGTGATTTAGCTGGCTTTGAGAATGGCGTGATTTAGCTGGCTTTGAGAATGGCGTGATTTAGCTGGCTTTGAGAATGGCGTGATTTAGCTGGCTTTGAGAATGGCGTGATTTAGCTGGCTTTGAGAATGGCGTGATTTAGCTGGCTTTGAGAATGGCGTGATTTAGCTGGCACACCTCCTGCAGTGAAAGAGGGCAAGGGAAGGCGTATTTGAGAAAGGAAGGCGAGGAGAGGTGAGGGAAGGCGAGGCAAGCTGATGCCCACCATTCCCTCTCTCCGCCTCCTCCCCTTATAGGAAGACGCCCACCCCATCAGGTGCCTCTGGGAGCACCATGACATGACGTGCATGTTTGCATACCTACCTGAGCACACCACACCGCACTACATCCCACCCAACTGCACCGCACTGCACCACACCCAACCCCGATAACACACCCGGAACGTGGTGGTACCCCAGAAGGCCACACGGCCTTGTCAGCGCCGCACGTGACCAGGTGGGCGCCGGAGAATGAGATGAGACGAAAGGCCACACACAACACAACAGCACACCCTCACACCCCCCAACCCCATCCCCACCCCCACTCTCCCACCAACGCACCCGGAACATGGTGGTGTCCCAGAATGCCACGGCCTTGTCACCACTGCACATCACGATGATCACGAGGTGCACTGCACATCACAAGTGTGGGGCAGCGCCGTGAATGCACACCAGGCTGATGCCAACCACTCCCCCGTCATGCACCTTGGGGAGAGTGAGGTGCATGTTTGTGCTTGCTTACCTGGACACACCGCACCGCATTGCACCGCACCGCATCACACCGCACCGCATCACGCCACACCACCGCACTAACCAAGAACGCACCCGGAACATAGTAGTATCCCAAAACGCAACAGCCTTGTCGCCACCGCACGTCACAAGGTGTGGGGCAGCGCCGTGGATGCGGGCCAGGCTTATGCCCACCACTCCCCCGTCGTGCGCCTTGGGGAGAGTGATCTTGGGCGCCACTTCCTTTGCTGCATTTGCTTGGGAGTCCGCCCCCCACATCACCAGCGTCCCGTCCGCTCCTCCTGATGCGAGCATCATCTGGGGGGAGAGTGAGGTATGGGAGTGCAGGGGAGACAGAGAGAGAGCAAGGAAGGGGTTTGGTAAGAAAGGTAGAGCAAGGCTGATGCCCACCACGCCCCCACCGTGCGCCTTGGGGGGAGTGAGCTTGGGCGCCACTTCCCTTGCTGCACTCGTCTGAAAGTCCGCCCCCCACATGACCAGCATGCCATCTGGACCGCCTGATGCCAGCAGCATCTGGGGGGAGAGATGGGAGAGCAGAAGGGGCAGGAAAGCGAGAGCAACAAAAGAAAGCTTGGGCGCCACTTCCCTAGATGCGCTCGCCTGGGAGTCCGCCCCCCACATGACCAGCACGCCATCTGCACCGCCTGATGCCAGCAGCATCTGGGGAGGGTGACGGATGGGGAGCAGGGAGGGCAGAGAGGGAGAGAGCACAGGAAGGGGTTAGGGTACTAAAGGGAGAGTCAAGCTGATGCCCACCACTTCCCTTGCTGCGCTCGCCTGAAAAGCCGCTCCCCACATGATCAGCACGCCATCCGCTCCTCCTGATGCCAGCAGCATCTGGGGAAAGGGATGGGAGAGCGAGGGCAGCATCCCACATGGGAGGGCGAGCAGGGGCGGCATCGCACATGGGAGGGCGAGCAGGGGTGGCATCGCACATGGGAGTGCGAGCAGGGGAGGAAGAAAAGCAAGAAATGGCAACCACGGTGCTTCCACTACTCACCTCACCTCCCCATTCGCCTCTCACCTCCCATTCGCCTCTCACCTCCCATTCGCCTCTCACCTCCCATTCGCCTCTCACCTCCCATTCGCCTCTCACCTCCCATTCGCCTCTCACCTCCCATTCGCCTCTCACCTCTCATTCGCCTCTCACCTCCCATTCGCCTCTCCCCTCCCATTCGCCTCTCACCTCCCATTCGCCTCTCACCTCCCATTCGCCTCTCCCATCCCATTCGCCTCTCCCCTCCCATTCGCCTCTCCCCTCCCATTCGCCTCTCCCCTCCCATTCGCCTCTCACCTCCCATTCGCCTCTCACCTCCCATTCGCCTCTCACCTCCCATTCGCCTCTCACCTCCCATTCGCCTCTCACCTCCCATTCGCCTCTCACCTCCCATTCGCCTCTCACCTCCCATTCGCCTCTCACCTCCCATTCGCCTCTCACCTCCCATTCGCCTCTCACCTCCCATTCGCCTCTCCCCTCCCATTCGCCTCTCCCCTCCCATTCGCCTCTCCCCTCCCATTCGCCTCTCCCCTCCCATTCGCCTCTCCCCTCCCATTCACCTCTCCCCTCCCATTCACCTCTCCCCTCCCATTCACCTCTCCCCTCCCATTCGCCTCTCACCTCCCATTCGCCTCTCACCTCCCATTCGCCTCTCACCTCCCTTTCGTCTCTCACCTCCCATTCGCCTCTCACCTCCCATTCGCCTCTCACCTCCCATTCGCCTCTCACCTCCCATTCGCCTCTCCCCTCCCATTCGCCTCTCCCCTCCCTTTGTTCACTCACTTCCCCATTGCCGGCCATGAAGGGCAGCAGGCAGTGAACTGCGCCCTTGTGCCCTCCTGTGAACTTGCGCGATATCTGAGGGGTCAATAGGGAGGCATACAGAGAGGCAGGGAGGGAGGGGAGGCATGGAGGCAGACAAAAGCAGGCCGACAGTCACACCGGTTAAACGGACACAGGCAGAGGAAGGGGCCCCGACAGACAGACAAGGATGGGCAGAGATAGGCACCAGGACAGGAGAGGGATAGGGATGGGGCACAAGCAGCAAGAAAGAGCGTGTCAGGAAAGCAGAAGCACGTTGGGGAGAAGTGGGTCTTCAAGTGGTAAAACACAGTGCAGGCTTCACTCACCTGCCAGGTTGCGAGGGAGAGCACCCGAATGGCCCCATCAGGCCCTCCGAAGCACGCAAAAGGGCCATCGCCCAGTGCACTGGAACGAGGTAGAAACTCCACACTGTGTGAGCGGGGAGGGGAAGGGGAGGAGAAGAGGAGGGGGAGAGGAAGGAAAGAGGAGGAAGAAGGTTGATGGAAGAAGAGAGCAGCAACAACTAGCAAACAGTATTATAAAAGTAGTGGTATCACAAAAACTTGAAAATGACCTTTCAATTTTCACAGAAAGTAGAACGTTTATGATGCCTACGAACTCACCAAAGGGGAGAGCCACAAGCAGCAATTGATGGAATGCCCTTTCGGTGTTCTCAAAAGAACGCTCACTCACAACTCCTCCCCCAACTCACCAAAGCGGAGAGCGGTTGTCCAGCAGAAGCTGGGAATGTCCTTTGTCCTCATTGTCACGAGGTCGGCAACAATCGCCTTGTTGTCGCAGCATACAAACAAGAACCGCCGCCCGCGCACCGCGGACGGGGCGGCGCCGATGGGCGGCACGAGGAGGCCGGCAGACGTGACGGTGGGGGATTCGGCCACTGCCGCCCGGGCAATGGCTCCCGTCCAGAAGCGAACATCGTCGTCATAAAACTTCACGTCCTTCACTCTGGGGAAGCGGGGGAATGGGTGAAAGAGGGGTTAGAGGGGGAGGGCGGGGAGAGAGGAGGGGAAGATGCAGAATAGGGTTACGGTAAACAGGAACTGGGGGATTCGGCCACTGCTGCTGGAACCACTGCCGCCCGCGCAATGGCTCCTGTCAAGAAGCGAACATCGTCGTCATAGGATGCGAGGGGAAGACGGGATGGGATATGGGAAGGATTAGATATGGGGAGCAGGGGATAAAGGGTGAAGGACTTGAAGCCCAGGAAGGGATAGGAGGAATAGCAGAGCATTAGGAGGTAGGGGGAGCAGGGCATAGGGGTCTTAAGGGATAGGTGGCGCACAGTGACGCCTGGTTGACTTGGCTCGGAATTTAAGAGAAGAGAGAGAAAGACTCACCCTCCTCCTCGAATGGCCTCTGCTCCCACTGCTGACGACCGTGTCTTGGCATCTGCAGGGAAGGAGAAAGCACAGCGCAGCAACCAGAAGAAAGGAGTGTATTGCGCTCGCTCGCATGCTTGCATGCATATCTGGTTTGGATTGCGTGGTTAGTGATGATGTAACACACTTGGTGTTTCTTTGACCACTTGGATGTTGCTGGAGCGGTACAGACAGTGATACGAAAGGAATCCGGGTTGCAAAGGCACCGTTTACGCTTCGGCAACATTTAAAGGTCCAGCCCACTCACACACTCCCCAGCGGCAACTGTCATCAACACTCTGAGGGCACCCCAAGGACAAAGCATCCTCCCTGTCAAGCTCACGCCCCTCCCGGTCAGCACATAAAGCATCAGCAACACGCCCCAACACTCACGCTCCTCCCCATCGGCGATGCGCTGTAGCTGGGCGTCCACCAGGCGCCGCTCGTCCACCCCTCCCGCGTTCACCTCGTACAGCACCTGCGGGGGCAACCACCAGTGCCATCAACAGAGTCGTCATGTCATCACACTTGAAATGTCATGATGAATTCACCACCACTGGTGTCATCATCATCAGTGTCATTCTGAATAAATTGCCATTACACATAAACTGCCGTATTCACCTCTTACTGCAGAACCTACAATCGCCACCAGTGTCCTTGGGGTGGGGATCATCAGTGCTGTCATAGCACTGATGATCCCCACCCCAAGGACACTGGTGACAGTGCCAATAGGCATTTACTACCAGGGCCATTGATATCTGCACATTAGCTTGCCAGCTGTCACCTAACAGCTTGTCCAGGTGTACTCCGAGTCGACTCAAACAACCTGCGTTCACCTCCTACAGCACTCCAAACGGACCCTCACTTTAAAGGGTAAAGAACACACCTGGCGGGGTTCCCAGTCCCATATCGTGGCCGTCCAATGAGACGATCCACTGCAGCGTGGGTGCACGTCCATGCGGTACATCTCTAAGTTACCCTTATTTTACTGTGTAAAGAACATACCTGGCGGTGTTCCCAGTCCCACACGACGACGTTATCGTGGCCGTCCGATGAGACGATCCACGGCAGCGTGGGGTGCACGTCCACGTGGTACACCTTCTCCGCGGTCGGACGAAAGGCTTGTAGCGAAATCGCGGACATGACGAAACCGCGGATATGCGAAACGAAGGAGATGCGACGCGAACGTCTAAAGAGCCGTCAGGGGATACTAGAACACGTAAGCAGTCACGAACGGAGGCAGAGGCGTGAATAGCGGCGCAATCAGCGGGAAAGCACTCCGTGCTTCGAGGTGCTCTCGCTAGCCCTGCCAAGTACCCCTAAGATGCTACTTATACTGCGGGTCACACTATTAGACCCTCATCAAGTCAGCTCACTCCAGAGCCTTATGCTGCGAAGTATAATGAGGTAGGGTAACCTCGCCGCCTGCCGCTATCGTTGTAAACTTCCTAATACGCCTCAGGGACGTCTTGAGAGCGTGCGGTTCGCAGGACCACCGCTAACCTTATTGTACATATCCCAGCATGAATCAAACACAATGCCTTGCATCAAAATTAGAAGCAAAACTTGGCTGGCATCTAGATTCTAGGTTTGGCCCGAGTGCGAGTTTTGTGCTTCACCAAGTCTGGATGAATCTCCTCTGGTTCGTGTTTGGCGAACATCGTGAATTCAGCTTCTTCTTTTTTGGGTTGCGAAGCAACCCTTCATGATCGATTTTGCCAAATTTTATTTTCATATTTATTAATTTTAAATAAAATATGAAAATAAAATTCATAAACTACAGTTTACTTCCCATACTGTGCATAGTGAGTAATTGTCAATACTGTTCACAGTACATCAAACCATATGATTTTTTTTATCAGGTGTTTTGTGCAAATATGTTGTACTGTTTGCATTATATATTTTACGATTAAATGGTGTTGTAGTAATGATAAATAAATGCATGTGCATAAAATAATGTTATACTATGCATAATGTTTAATATGATGTCATGAATTATTATGCACATGCATGCACAAAATAAAATGCGTGACAGTTAACGACCGAAAAACTAAGCTACCGCCATCCCCTGCCTAGCATGGGGGGGAGGTCAATGGTAGAGATTTTGAATAATCAACTATCACATGAAACAACACAATCTGTAAATCCTAAAACAATGGTCAATCGTATCAAATCCAATTCGGAGTGGCAATACACGAGTCACTTTGTGCGCCAATGCACCTTTTGTGAAATGATAGACTTGAGCCATCTTTTTAAAATTCACAGACATGCATTGTTGATGCAATGATGAACATAAAAAAATACGCATGCATGCACACAATGACACATACGCACACACGCACACACATACACGAAGGCAAACTAACGATAATAGAACCGCATACAAATGCACAAACAAAAAAGACAAGTAGGAAGAAATAAAAACAGAAGATGCAAAATTTATGAACAGCAATCTAAATCAAATTCCACAATCCAACATTTCCCAATCGCTTGGCTCAATCATAGGTAGTTAATGTCAGAACATTATAGTGCTTACATTTGTGTAGGCTATAGTGGGGTAGCCCATAAGGGCTACAACCCAATCAAGGTTAGTACTTGTACCCAACTGTTTCATAGTTCATTCATTCTCGTTCATTCTTCTGACATGGTTTCAGAGCAGGTCCTCCGCGAGGACCGTTTTTTCCTTGGGCCCACCACAGCGCTACCCAGCTAGCCGCCCTCTGCAGCCCTCGAGCTGCCCCTACTGCCTGTCGCGACCGTTAGGCCCCTAGGCCCGTCGCCACTAGCCCGTCGCCTCGGCCCATCGCCCTAGACCCGTCGCTCGTCGCCCCCCCTAGGCCCGGCCCGTAGCCCGTCGCCCCGCGGCCCGTCGCCTGTCGCCCCCCCCCCCCCCCCCCCCCCCCCCCCCCCCTTGGCCCCGCGGCCCGTCGCCCCTAACCTAGGCCTCAGCCCGTCGCCCCTAGGCCCCCGGCCCTTCGGCTCGTCGCTCTTGGCCCCGCGGCCCGTCGCCCCTAGGCCCCTGGCCCCTCGGCCCTTCGTTCTTGGCCCCGCGGCCCGTCGCCCCTAGGCCCCCGACCCCTCGGCCCCATGCCCCTCGGCCTGTCGCTCCTGGCCCCGCGGCCCGTCGCCCCTAGGCCCGCGGCCCGTCGCCCCTAGGCCCCCCGGCCCGTCACTCCTGGCCCCGCGGCCCGTCGCCCCTAGGCCCCGCCACTCGCCCTTAGGCCCCCCGAGGCCCGTCGCTCCTGGCCCTGCGGCCCGTCGTTCCTGGCCCCGCGGCCCGTCGCCCCCATGCCCCCGGCCCCTCGGCCCTTCGTTCCTGGCCCCGCGGCCCGTCGCCCCTAGGCCCCCGGCCCCTCGGCCCGTTGCTCCTGGCCCCGTGGCCCGTCGCCCCTAGGCCCCGTGGCCCGTCGCCCCTAGGCCCCACGGCCCGTCACCCCTAGGCCCCTGGCCCATTGGCCCGTCGTTCCTGGCCCCGCGGCCCGTCGCCCCTAGGCCCCCGGCCCCTCGGCCCGTCTCTCCTGGCCCCGTGGCCCGTCGCCCCTAGGCCCCGCGGCCCGTCGCCCCTAGGCCCCCGGCCTGTCACTCCCGGCCCCTGCAACCCGTCGCTCCTGGCCCTGCGGCCCGTCGCCCCTAGGCCCCGCGACCCATCGCCCTTAGGCCCCCAAGGCCCGTTGCTCCTGGCCCCACGGCCCTTCCCCCTTCGCCCCGGCCCGTAGCCCCTGGCCCCGCGGCCCGTCGCCCCTAGGCCCTCGAGTCGCCCCTCCTGCAGCCTGCTGCCTACCCTGTTCCTCGCGCAGCCCGGCCTCTGCCCGCCCTACGTGCTGCGCCACTATGGCTTCTCTCCGCGTGCTAGCTTTCGATCATGAGGGACGCCCAATCCAGTTTGACACGTGGCTCGACGACCTGCAGCTGTACCTACTGAGCGACTCTAGGGACAGTGTTTCGTTGTTTGACTACACGTCTGGCGCCGCTCCCGCCCCTCCCGACACAGCTGACAGTGCAACCCACTCACAGTGGCTTACTCGTGAAGTTGCTGCTCGCTTAGCCATTCGCAACCACCTGCCGTTAGTCGAATGCGCTCACTTCGGACAGCACAGGACAGCACAGACGCTGTACGACGCTGTCGTCGCTCGCTACTCATCGCCTGCCACTGCTGCTCTAGGCCGCCTCCTACTGCCCTACCTGTTCTCCGATCTGTCTGCCTTTGCCACAGTCGAGGACCTGGTTTCCCACCTTCGCGCTAGCGACGCTCGCTACCGAGCTGCCGCCCCTGTTGAGTTCCTTGAGAGGAACTAGCCCCCGATGTTTATCACTCTCCACTTTATAGTCACCTGCCTCCCTGACTCTCTTCGCTCTGTCAGGGACCACTTTCTCTCCCTTGACCCCACAGTCCTCACTGTTGACCTACTCGTGCAGCACCTCCTTGCAGCTGAGACTAGTGTAGTCGCTGTAGGTGCTACTCGTGGCACTCCATGCACGCCCTTCTTTGAGGGGTGCTCCCCCTCCCCCCTTGCCCCCTCCTACGCCTCTGCTGCTGCTATTGACGTCCTTGGTGCTGAGGATGTCGGGGCTGCTTCTGCTAGTGCGAAGCGCCGCAGTAGCAAGGGCAAGGGTGGCAGGGGTGGTGGAGGGGGCAGCGGGAATGGTGGTGGGGGCAGAAGTGGAGGTAGTGGAGGCAGTGGAGGTGGTAGTAGCGGTGGGAGTGGTGGCGGGAGTGGGTGCGCTGGTGGCAGCAGTGGAGGCAACGGTGGGAGTGGCGGTAGTGGTAGCGGTGGGGGTGGTGGAGGTAGGACTGGAGCTCCACGTGGAGGTTCAGGAGGAGGCCAGCGGCAGCGGCAGTAGTGTCGGAGCGAGACCCCGTTGCCCCAGGGTGACTGTTACCGGTGTGTGCCGCTTGAACCAGGTATAGAGGGTGCTGCTCTAGGTGCTAGTGAGTCTTCTCTCCCTGGTACTGCGCGTGCTGAGGCCTTGCACACTTTCACGCTAGACTTAGGTGCCTCACGCTGATTCTTTCGTGACAGCACCACCCTCACTCCTCTCCCTGCACGTGTCCCGGTCAGACTGGCTGACCCCTTCGGGGGTCCGGTTGTTGCCCGTTCCTCCACTGTTCTCCCTTGTCCGGCGGTTCCGTCCGGCTCACTGTCAGGTCTTCACCTCCCCTCGTTCTCTACGAACTTGGTGAGTACCGTGGCCCTCCAGGACTCGATGGTCACTACCACCACTCCTGGGGGTCAACGTGTGTCAATCTGCACGTGCACACGGACGGGTCATCACCTGGCCACGTTCACACGTCGGCCAGGGTCGAGTCGGTACACACTGGCTACCGAGCCTTCTCAGGTAGCTGTGTCTGCCCAGGTGTCCGCGTCAGGTCCAGTAGCACCCCCTTGCTCGTGTCGCCTCCTGTCGCACCAGACTCTTCTCTGGCACCACCGCCTTGGTCACCCCTCCCTGCCACGCCTGCATGGCATGCACTCCCGCCTTCTTGTCTCTGGTCTTCCCAGGTCTCTGCCTCCCCTCTCGCCCTCGCCTGCCCCGCCCTGCCTTCCGTGCGTTGAGGGCCGGCAGCGCGCCGCTCCTCACTCCTCCTCGTTTCCCCCGACGACTGCCCCCTTGCAGACTCTCCACATGGACGTGTGGGGCCCAGCCCGCGTCAGTGGACAGGGCCGTGAGCGCTACTTTCTGCTGGTCGTTGACGACTACACGCGGTACACCACCGTCTTCCCCTTGCGCACCAAGGGTCAGGTTGTTGATGACTTGATTCCTTGTATCCGTGCAGTACGTCTCCTGCTCCGCGAGCGGTTCCGCCAGGACCTTCGTGTCCTGCGTCTGCACTCTGACAAAGGTGGTGAGTTCTCCTCCGACCTCTTGCGAGACTTTTGTCGTGGGGAGGGTATCCTCTAGTCGTTCACGCTTTCGGCCTCACCGCAGCAAAATGGGATTGCTGAGCGCCGCATTGGTTTAGTCATGGAGGTCGCTCGTACCTCCATGATCCATGCGGCTGCTCCCCATTTTTTGTGGCCGTTTGCGGTCCAGTACGCTGCGCATCAGCTCAACCTCTGGCCCCGTGTCTCCTTGCCGGAGACCTCGCCCACATTGCGTTGGACGGGGCAGGTTGGCGATGCGTCAGTGTTCCGGGTCTGGGG